GAAAATAAAGAGGAGTGAAAGTAGTAATAATTACGCGATACACATTACCATCATCATCTTTATCTTCTTTGCAATTAACAAAATTATTTCTCCCTATCATAAACTTTACAATTAAATGTTATAAAATTATCAGGCAAGTTTTTTAGGGGGGTGTTTTCTGATTGTTTTTTTTTCTTTGCTTCTTCCCTCTTCATTACAATATGATAGTTTCACACTTTTAATGGATAGATTGGTTGTTATGGTTGCAGTATGAATGTTTGTGAATGGTTTAAATGATGAAAACAAGTCACTTATAATTCATTTTGATGATACACTTATCCAATGTTATGTCTGAAAAAGATTGTATACCAGTTAATTTTTCTTCTTTCTAAAGCTTTTAGTAAAATGTCCCATAGAAAATAGTTGAAAGGCCTACTTACTTGACTGTCAGACTTTTGCCATTATTCTTTCCTGAACTTCTCAAAAAGACTATATCATATTATGTAAAAAACACACTGAAAACTGTAAGTAGGGTTAGTAGTGGTGTGTCTTTTGAGTCACTGACAACTGACATTATTGTCAATAAGCACTTCCGTTCTTACAAGCATTTGGTTAAAGTTATCTTGTCTCATACTAAACATCCTCTTTATTCTCAACTTTTGCCTTGTATATCTTCGGGTGAAACCAGAAGAAACTTCATAAGAACTTACGCTCGTACGGCCATTAAATATAAAAATTCTACGAAGACAATTTTCTTTATCGACGAAATCATCTTCAAAGTCGTATTTATACCTACCAAATATATATATATATATGTATAGTGGTCTATTATTGTTCAGAGATGCGTTTGGAAAGTGTGCGCTTTGAGTGCACATTATCTGTCCATTATCCGGCATGGTTAGCAAAGGGACAATGCAAGACAATTACTAGCTCAATTCTCGAGCATTTGGTGAACTCAGTCCATGTAGCTCCACCAGAGTCGTCTTTCAAGATCATCTACAACAAAGTGAAACCAAATGGTACAAAGGGCGTCAGGTTTCGGCTTTTGTGTATGGCTGAGGCACTGGCAATTCGTCAATACAACCCGAACTCTGCATACAGAAAAAGTGTGTCCAGTCTCTTATTCTACCTTGGTCTTAACCTCTTCACTAGTCGTTCCCTGTGAAAATTTTTTGATTTTTTCTTTTTTTAAAATTTTACTTTCATTTTGCTTCTGCTTTAATAATTAATCCAATGTAAAGTCAGTGCTGCTATACGGATCAGAGACTTGCACTGCGAGTCATAAAGAGCATCTCAAACAAACTTCAGACCTTCATTAACAGCTGTCTCCGCTCAATACTCAAGATCAGATGGCCAGAAAATATCAGCAACAGGGATCTCTGGGAGCGAACCAATCAGGAACAGATTGTGAAACAAATAGGCAGAAAGAAATGGAGATGGATTCGCCATACGCTGAGGAAATCATCAAGTGACATCACTTGACAAGCCCTCGAGTGGAACCTGAAAGGGAGGCGGCGAGTTGGTCGTCCAAGGGTGACTTGGAGGAGGTCATGCGAGGAGGAGATGAAAGCATGTGGAGAGACCTGGAGCAGGGTGAAAAAGTTGCCAGAAAACCGAAGGCAATGGAGGTGCGCAGCTGAAGCCCTATGTTCCTCTAGGAACTAAAGGATACAATAATAATAATAATATCAATCTCATGTGTTCCTTTTATACATTTTCACACCCTCTTGACACTTGTTGAATGGACACTCACCTACCACATTTGTTCTCACTCAATAGCTATTTTAACCTTATCAAATTTGTAACTTTGTGTCATTGAGTACCACGTAATTTACAACTTTTAACTTTCACTTCTAAAGTCACTTCCGCGTAATTATATCAATTATGTCACCCCCTATTACTCAACAATAGACCACTATATATATTTTGGCAAGTATAAATACGACTGTACAGCCTCTGAAGATGATTTCGTCGATAAAGAAAATTTTTCAGGATTTCATCATGAGCTAGCATCAGTTAGAGAACCATTGGAAAACCTGCAAAGAGTACTGGACAGCTGTTTCGTCCTAGTTTGGGACTCTTCATCAGTGCACACCCACGCCAAAGGGTTCGAACCCAGGCCCTCCTGGTTACAAGGCGAGCTCGTATACCATTAAGCCACCGGGATCCGATCTAATGGCCCAATTCACGACATAGCGCGACCCCCCCAGCCAATGTCTTCGGCGAGTATCTGTCCTGACATCCAGGTTTTCCAATAGTTCTCTAACTAATGTCAGCTCATGATGAAATCCTGGAACCAGTCACATCCCTACAAACCAACACTTGAAAAAAGAAAATTTTCTTCACTGAATTTGTCTTTTATTTCCTTCATGACTTAGTGGGTATTTTCGGGGATAGAAATTCTACCATACCACGATAATTATTACGGGTTTTGTGTGAAATAGTGGGGTCAAATGTTAGAGAAGTGAGCTGCAAACTATAAGCAAAGCTTATTATTACATATACTATCTATGATACTATCTACTTATACTTCACTATGTTTCGACCAACATTCTGCTTAAAGTGGTGGTTTCATTATTAACATTATTATTACTGTTTTAAATTTTATGTATGTACATATTTATAAAAGGAGGTAAATTGTTGCAATGTGAATAGAAACGCTGAAAATTCCATTCGGCATAATTATTATTGTTGTTTGGATTAGGGTTATTATTACTATTATTAAAAATCAGTATTCAGTGTAGTTGTTCCCACTTAAAATGCACTGTGATAACGACAGTCAGTAAACAATAACTGATCAGCCACTGAACTGTATGTTTTGTAGTCCTACTTACTAACCAGATTCAGTCACTTCTGTTTTTGATGTGGTCATTGATTTAAAAGACTCCAGTTTATAAAATGTCGACCGATTTCACATGGTCTTACGAAATTAGCACAAAGTGAAAGACCAGCCTGTGTATATCTTACCATTTTTTATCGAAAAGGATCGCTCCCCCCCGCCCCACCCTCGAGTGAACTGATGCCATCTACGACAGGTTAAGCTCATGTTAAAAATTCACTCGTGTTAAATAATAGGCAAAATTCAATGAACACTTATTGAAAAAAAGCCGAGTTTATTTATTCTTTGGCATCTAGTCAAGTTGTTAAATTGATCACTCAAGAGCATTAGTTGCTTAGTAACCAACTAACTGTCTTACTGTGCTACAGTCATAAGTGATATAAGTTTCATTCTCTGAGGATTTGGTAGAAAAAAGAAAAAACAGAATCATTACCTGTTGAATATTTCATCATGTTAGGTAGAACAGGTGAACAGTAAACGTCTCATTAACTTCAATCAATCAACATTTTTTTTGGTGTGTAAGAAAACTTGTCACTTAAGAAGGTAGAAAAAGTTGCAAACTACGAGTGTTTCGGGAGTGAAGAAAGTATGAAGGTCAGTCAGTGACTTATCAGGCAGAATTTTAGTGGAGTAAATGACTAAATTTCAGTTATTCATTCAACAGGAACTACAAAAATCTTCTTGATCAAGTGTAGAGAGAATATCTTGAAATATATTATGCACAAGATATCAAGGTATCTTCTTTATGTTTCTGAATACAAGTCGCTGGAGCACAAAAATTCAGGGGATTTAAAGTATGATAAACTAATTCTTGTGTCTGATAAGGTAATTTAATATAACATGCAATAATTCATAAGTGGATGATGTTTAAAGTACAATTTAATGCTAACGGTTATATCAATTACGACTTATCATTAGAGTCAAACTCCACTTTTAAACTATGATCAAACCAAATTATCTGTTAAGGTTATGAGTATCTATGAAGAAATTATACAGAAATAATAAACACTTTTATTAAAGACCAAAGTTTTCTGCTACAGAGAAAATGGAGGGTGACTTTTCTGGGTTTACGACTACTTTCCGTGAATTTTCACACACTGGCAGTCCAAAGTACGAAACTGTAATGGGTTGATTCGGTTCGTGTTTAGTTCATTAAACTCTTGGGTCCCAACCAAATAATTCCTGATTTTTTTCGGATTTGACAAAATCTCATTTCCTAAAATATATATTATATTGTCTTGCAGAGATAAAATCTGTCAACAGAATACCCTCCATCTAAAATGTCGTACTTAGACATTTAAAATGAAACTGCAAAAGTCTGAAGTCTGATACAAATTTAGACGTTACTATATAATCCATACTAACTATATATAACCCTATAATACCACATGGTTGAACAAATCGAAGTGAATGAGAGATAAGTCGTGATTGGCTGGTCCTTAGCCACAGACTTTGGAGACATGATAAATAATTAGCGAAAACCAGAGAATTAATAAATAATGGAAAAATAACCCGAAGAAATAGGGATGGGAAGAACTAGTATGTGTAAAAATGAATCACTGATGGACTCCTCATGTTTTAATCTTTCCCTTACTGGTTTTCGCAGATTGTTCGCCCTCGCATAAATGATCCAACACTGAATGACTTAACAAAAGGGTATCAACTGTGCGATTAATCATCTTCATTAGACATTTCCCCACTTTAATCCCTTTTCACATCCTCGTGGCATCACTCATTCAGCTAAACTAATTATAGAAGTACTGAATATTTCACCACATTTTGACTGAAAAGAAGCACAAGTAATTCACTTCTTAATACCACAATAAGTAAATAATGGTAAACACACATTAAACGCCCGACGATAGACTGTATTCATACATGTATTGAACTCAAAATATAAAATTTATTATTATTATTTATTTTATTCCACTACTTTCCGATTGGAACATATAGGGCTTCCAGCTAGAGCTTTGAAGTTACGGGATGGGGTTACTAGTCTTCTCTCTTCACCAGCCTTACTACCGGCTTAGAGAGACTTATGAGTGTTTCAGCCTAAGATGGAACCACAGGCCATATGAGATGTGGTTGGCAAGCATTCTATGGCTGTGACACCGACGCAAAGTATTAAATAAATGGCTTAAACTTTGTTACATCAATAAACGAACAGTCATTATTTACTTACAGTATGATAAAATTCCGTAATATCACCAAAAGCTGCTTGTCTTGAATTATGATGACGTCGGCATTCTTCAGCAGCATTCAACTGTGTCATATGTAAAACACGATATATGCGTGCACATACACCACAAATACCTGAAGCTCCATTCACCGAGGTAAGATTATTTATTAATTCCAGATAAATAGGCGCACGAGGTTCATTATCTGGTGTAATACCACCAGGTGAATAGAAGGATGGTGCACTTTCCCAATCTGAATAGAGTAAACGTCTTCCTGTGTGGAAGCCTGCTAAATTCACTGATGTTTGTGAATAACTGTGAATACTGTCAAAATTAATGTACATAATTACAATGATGAATAGGCGAAATTTATTCAAGAAAATATCCATTATGCTAGGATGAGTTAGTTATCTAGTTAATCCGTAGAGCTGAACAGAATATAAGGACATATTTACAGACTGAATAAAATCCGAATGCCAATTAGCATTCTTAGTTAGCGCGTCTATTTCAAAGACGATAACAGTGACTATGCATGTATTATACACTTCCAAAGTTAATTATGTGTAGTGTCCTCAATCGTCATAACTTTCAATGTGACATGAGAAAAATAAATTTTTTTCTTTGGATGTCTTTTCGACTATTTGTCAAACAATTATTCCGTATTCACATGTATAATTAATTTTCTTTACTTACTGCGTTCTTATTGGCTAAAATGTGACTAGTTAAAAAAAACAGAATCGACCAATAGGCGTTAAATACATCACCTAATTTTTGTTCACCAAATTTATAGTAAAAATTAAGTCTTTTGACGCATATCTAGGGCTGTACAGTAAGTACATTAAAGCTTATGAGTGAAAATCTTCGTCAGACTGCATACAGTATATATAATGGGATAGCTTTCATTACGTCACCTGAATACCGAAGATAACGGCTCCATATAAAATGTTATCTCACATTGAAAACAAGCCTGTCTGTCTGTCTATTTTCAACGTAGAACTTTGCACCGATATGCAGCAGTTCAAGTCACCGCATTCCGTGTAGCACAAAAAGCAAGAGAAGAAAGTAGAAGAAATGCATAATAGAGACAGTAGACAGGGGTATGAGACAAAAGGAATAGTAATATGGAAGAACGATATAGTTTCACTGGGTATTATAAGTCACAAGGAGTGGATGCATCTGTGCGACTTAAAACGATTTCGCGCCATATCACCAACTGTCTCCAGCCATTGGTGTCTACTGCCCTGAGGATCCCAACTAGGAAGTCTTCACCTTGAAGAACTATATCATCTGCATATTCTAAGTCAAGTTTTATTTTTTATTTTTTTTTATTTATTTTTACTTTCTCTGATTCAAATTATGAGATATCGCATATGCTGTAAGGGATTTCCAACTTCTGTCCGCATGCGATACAAAGACATCACTATTTAAAGTCAGTGGTGAACTAATTGAACCAAGGATACCAAGTGTATCCAACCCTCTCAGTGTTCTCGTAACTTCCATTTGGTTTCAAGTGGAATAGAGGGCTTCAACAACATATCTCCACTTTATTCTATTTTCTGCCGCCCTCTTCAGCTGTTCCCACTACTGCCCATAATCTCTCGTCTCCTCCTCTCCTACACACGATCTCCTCCATGTCATTCTCACACCGACGACACAGTCGTCGCTTCTCATTAGGATTCCAGTCGAGCGATGGCCTGGCGCACAGCGTTATTCGATGATTTCCTCAACATAGTCCACCTCCATTTTCTTCTACTTATTTGTTGAGTGATCGACTCTTGGCTAGTTTGTTCCTAGCCAGAGTTTCTCGTTGCTAGTTCTTCCTAGCCTTTCAGTCTTCAGTATGAAGCCAGTGAAGGTGGGAAGCTGTTGGTAAAAGTCTGTAGTTGCTTGTTGGAAATCCTTTTCGTGACGCGCAGGGGATGTTTCTGACCGATATATAAGAACTGACTGACTTCGCTTTTGTACTGAAAGTCTGAATCTTTTTTTATTCTGTCTGAGTACAGTGTGGAAGATTTCCGAACTGGTTTCAGATTGAAGAAGGAGTATCTTGCCTTTCCCGTTTTTAGCTGGCCTTGACCCCTTCATCTGTCTGTGGTTTAAACCATGCGTCGGTGGCACAGTGGTTAGGACTCTCGCTGACCATGCACATGGTCCGAGGTTCGATCCCTGCCGACGCACACCTCATATCTATGGTCGGCCTGCAAAATTTGGGCTACCGATATCACATGCTGAAAATTCCATACTTGTACCAAAAATACAGTGTGGAATCAAGCTGTTATCAACAATAAAAAAATAAAAATAAATAAGTAAGTGAAGGAATTCAGTTCTGTCAAATCTCTTTCGTTGATGTTGATCGATGCTTCATCACCTTCATCTTCGCTACGTTCACCTGGAGTCCTGTCTTTGCTATCTGTTCCGCCATTTTGTTGGTTTTCGCCAGTAAATCATCGAGTTTGTGTGATAACAGAAATAAATCATCTATGAAATCCAGATACTCTAGAATTTTCATATTAGTGCAACGTGATATTCCAGCGTTCTCACTCCTCGAGCACAGCCTGACACATAATCCAGTCCATTACAATTAAGAATATCATCGGTGATAACAGGCAGCCAGACTTGTCTTACTCCTGTATTCACTTCGAACGCCTCACTGAGTTTCCTGTTGTGGATCAGCTGACACGTGGCATTGTCATATAGCCAGCTGTTGAATGAGGTTGATAAAGACTTGGGTACTGCACGCCGTCATGTTGAAGTAGTTTCCAAATTACTTCTCGTTCAACGCTGTCTGTTGAAGGCTTTTTTAAAGTCGATGAATTTGAGGTAGAGGTTCGACTGCCATTCTATGCTCTGTTTGATGATGATGCGTAGAGTTTCAGTCTGATCATTACATGATTCGCCTTTCCTGAATCCAGCTCGTTCTGGTCGGAGAGGCGAAGTTCTTAATCCAGTGAAAATTTCATTCTTTCTGGGATGACGCAACAATAATAATCAACAATAATCAACGGCCTAATATGAAATGTCGGGTTTATGGAGATTAGACTTATTCCATCCTAGAATACATAAATTCAAGGTAAAAAAACATGGTGTTTTCCACTATTCACGCACCGAATTAATATAGTGCACAAATTAATTGTGTCATAGTGAAAATAAGTGTTTGAAGAAACACATTGTGTAGGCATAATTTTCGCCCATCAGTTTCATTGTATTTGTAATTATATCGCTTAAGATGCACAAAGACAAGTCTAATGTAATAAGTCACCTGGGATGTGATGGACACATGAGACAGATATCTTCAGATTAACTGAACAGCCTGCTTTGATAAGAGTTAAGATGCGAAATTTTCTGTAAATGAGGTCTTTGAATAAAGAATTACGAATTGTGATTTCTGTAGGCTACATTTGTTACAATTAGTAGTGTTGTCACTGAACAAAACATTTGCCAGAAGCCTGAAAAGCACAACATACTGTATGTTTACGGTTTCATTTGACATATAATTAGGTTAAAAGTGTGACCGCGGATTGAATTCAGTTGTGGAACCATTGAAAACCAGGGAGTACTGGACAGCTCTTTCCTCCCTAGTTTAGGACTCACTAGCAGTAACCACCCACCAACTAGGTTAGGGCGGAGGACCTTCCGGTGACAAGCAAATCCTATATACCATTCAGCCACTAAGACCCGATTCAGTGGCCCATGAACTGTAACTACCACCAGTTCGTGGTTTTTATGCGATCACTAACCAGTGTCGCGGAGGGTGTTTGTCCTCACTTTCAACGGAATGGATTCCATACACTGGTCGAAGTCGGAATTCATAGGCCACTGAATTAAGTCTCAGTAGCTGAGTGGTCTATGAGCTTGACTTGTAGACGTACGGTCCTGGGTTCGAGCCACAGTGAATGCCGGCTGCCGAAGAGTTCCAAACTAGGAGAAAACACCTGTCCAGCACCCCTCGATGGTTTTCAATAGTATCTTCAACTGAAAGCAATCAGTATTCAAACTTGAGACAAATCAAATCCCTAGAAACTAAAACTACATAACTAAGTTTAATTAGATATCTTCTGATGAAATGAGCACTAAAAAGAAACTACAAGTTTCTAGCTCACTACTATTAAGTAACAAGAATTAGTTTCATTTCTCAAACATATTTTGAGGCTTAAACAATCTTTTACTGTTCATATTACATTGTCATTACCACTTCTGACATTGATAAAGGCAGAAATTCATTCAACCAGTCAACAAGAACTTGAATCAATTTATTTTGAAGCTGGTTGAATATTTTCATTGTGTTTTTCTCATGAAATCAAAAACCGTTTAACTTCACTCTGACAAAAACTGTAAAGTGGATTTATTTCCTGGACTAACAGAATAAACACTCCAGTTCTAGCACAAGTCAAATACTCAGATAGATATCGGGATTACAATTCCTACAACCTGTAAATATGTCAATAAGCTGATTGATTTTTAATTTGAGAATTTAACAGTGTTTTAAAATAGCTCAAAAGACTACAATTAATCAAATATAACCATTTAATATTTCCTATTAATAAAATATTCGTCTGAATTCATGCTAAAAATGGTAGCCATTATGGTTAGCCTTTAATACTGTACTGTCAAGTAACTCAGCCAAACTTATACCTCCGTCTACAGACAACAGTTTGCATTTAGATAGTTAAGTCGGTAAAAGTTTATCATTTTAGAGTGATAATATAAGAATAAATTCATCCCGTTTCTTCAAAAAGTTAACTATAGTTATTGAAGAACAGTATATCCAGAATTTATTAGCAATATGTGTGAGGTTTCCTAGCGTTTTATGCCACCAAATGTTTTTAATTAATGTAGATTAATGTAGAAGCTAAAATACTAAAATTACTTAATAGATTTAATTATGATAAATGTAGAATTCTGATGAAATAATCAAAGGGCTGTAAAATTCAGTATACCCGATCCTTAGTATCGAGGTGTGTGCATCAACAGCTTCATCGATAACTTCGACAAAATGTAAAATTAACTAAGCGGCATGCCAAAAATAAACTGAAAAATACAGACGCAAATTTTTACTACATTTCACCAATTAGGCGCCACCTAAGTGAAATTCGGTGAAAATATTGCAGCAGGAGAAAGTGTAATATTCACTGTCTGTCCAAGTATTACGCATACGACCACTTCGTTATTAACTAAAATTACTCTTTAACTCAGTTTGTAGACCACATGAATTGTTATATATGTAAGTGGTTGGCTGTTAGTGAGACACAAGGGACTACTTAGCTGAATAGGTGATGTCATCTGTTCCACTGTCTCCGTATTATTTTACAGTAATTTTCAGATGTTTGGCGGGGTGATTAAAGAACGCATTAATTTTAAAAATATTAGTTAGTTTACAAATATCAAATGCATTAGTGTTTCCACGTCTATGTATTTCTGTGATTTTGGCTGTTCTTGTGGAGCCAGTTACACTGGACGTAAAATTCGGTATTTCTATCGTCGGGTTTCTAAAAACATCATCTAGCATGGTAGAGCAAGGGACAAACGAGTTCTATTCGCAGCTGTATTCCAGATGAACACGAAACTGATGTTAACAAGACTTTTGACTACCTTACCCCAACTATTCTTAATCTCACCTTACGAATTCGTCTTTTACAAACTGTTGGAGCCACCTTAAAAAGTCTAACTTGTGTGTTTAAAAGAAGTCCGTTCAGACGCTTTCTCTA